TGCAAATTAAGTGCAGTGGCACAGGATAAAAATAAATTCAGTCTAGAAGTGAAAATATTTTTTTCTTGGGGAGAATACAGGAATTGTTTCTGTACTGGAAGAATCCAACCAACCTTTAAAGTAAATGTTCCCATTCTGAGTTATTTACTCTAATTTTTTGTAAGGAAAAAATATATATGAAGAGCAAAGCAGAAAGCATAAAATTTGAAATAGGTCTTCATGTCCCAAAAGGTTGTCCTAGGGTGTATCCCACGCAGGAGGCATCGCTCTCCACTTTCCCCCTTTATGTTAATTGTTCTTGAACTTTACCCTTTCCTATCGTAAGAGAATAGCTTGACCATAAAATTGTCATATCAGCTTCTCAGTTTTTTTTCTCTTTCTCTCCGAAGTAATAACAAACATTAATTGAAAACATCTTCAGCAGGTGCTACTGAGGCAGATGGTGTTCCTGCGTGTTCCTCAACCCTACATATATAATAGAGTTTTGGTTTGGGGAACTTTCCTGTGATTGAGAAGACTGGGTTTCAAATTCCTACTGCCTGTCAGGTCACATGGCTTTTAAAACTGTCACCCCGGTTTAGTATCTTAGCCATTGGTAATTAAGTTAAATAGAAGAAAACATGTTTATCTGTTAAGTTTTGTCTAATGGCTATACAAACCTCTCTTGCTCTCTCTATGCATACATGCACATGAATGTGCATGCACACACACGCGCGTGCGCAGATATTCAGGTACTGGCCTTGCTTTCCACAAACAACTGGTTCAGCTTCACGAAGGGGATCCCACCAGCTTCAGGTTGTGCTGCAGCAGTCGGTGGCACCAGCTGCTCAAACTCTGGAGCAACAGTGACTACTGCACCTCCTCCCCTGGGTGAGGACAACATTATGCCGGCAGGTGAGTGCTGGCCAGCTAGAGAGAGGGCTACCAGTCATAGGGGAAGAATTGTGCCCATACCCAAATTGTTGATTGTCAACTATCTCCTCTCTGCTCTGCTGATGATCAGAACAGCACCTCAAACTGGAAGGAGAGCAGTTGTCAGGCTGATGAGTAACTGAACCAGTTCTCTTGAAGCTCCAATTAACAGCAAAACGTCTTTCATAGAAACAAGTGTTCAACCAAATAAAACTGATGATTTTTGGACATAGAGGATTAAAAATTTCTCTTATACTTTCTGCATAACAGTCTACAAAAGCAGATTTGTTCCCTTCCAGAATTTCAGGATTAGTCCCCAAATATGCTTGACTGAGGTCTCTGCAAATAGCTTTATTTAGATGTGAAAGGAGAAAGAACTTGTCTTGTTCACTCCATTTTAAGTTTCTAGTGCTCAGCACCCATGAAATGGATTGCTTATGTGGGGATAATGTCTTTTTTGTGCCTTCCAAAGTCTGTGATAAATGTCTTCCCAGTTAATAGGTTGATTAAAACTGTATATGCTCCAGAAGATAAATATGATTATTTATCATACTTGCCCAAGATAATGACAGTAACGAAGACAAGGTTGAAATTCTGTATGATTTCCTCTCTTCCACATCCAGGGACATTCAGCACACAATACGCAGATGGCGTGCCACATAAAGTATCGCATTAACTGTTAAACATTTTTTCTTCCCATTAACTAATTTAACAATATGTCCCTGCTATTAAAGAAACAGACAAATTACAGAAAACTTCTGTCAGCTTAATCTTGATTGCTAAAATAGGCCATTCGCCCAGATGGGATTGTTTTCTGGCCTATCAGGTTCGAAATGTCTAGAAATTCGGCAACCACCAGCCCAGGCTCTCGCAGTGTTGATTCAGCTCTTCATCCTTAATTGAGTTTCAGGCATGTAACTCTCTGGAGATTTTTGAATGCCAGCCTAAATATCGAAGGCTACTCTGCTCTCCGTGTGTGTTAGCTGACCTGAATTTTCTAAAACGATGAGCTCTTAGGAGCCTGGTTTAAGTCAGCAGATGCCATAGGTGACAAAACTCACAGCAAAAGCCCCTGAGACTTTTTTGCCAGAGTGGGCAGTGGACCAAATTAAACAAGCATTTCCAGTTGGTTTTCATTTGCCCCCTTCTACAGCAAAGACACTGTTCCTGACCTTGGGGCTGGCGGTACTGTAGAGGCTCCCACCATAAGCACAAGAATGGTGGAGCAGCCTGCCCACCACCACAGCCACTTGCCATGCTGATCTCTTTTTATCACCGTTTTCCTCTTTCTCTTTTTCCTTCTATGCAAAGTAGTAGTATGAAGGGAGCTCATGTATTATTAAGTATTAGACTACAGGCTACTTTTAGGAACATGCATGGCCTCCATTATTCCTATAACTAAATGTGACCAGAAAGTCGATGAAAAAGCAGGGTAAATGAAACACAGAGGCCCACTCAGTGACCTGAAGCAACTTGAAACTCACTGTGGCTGTGTTACATTACCCACTTGGAATAGCAGTGCTGCAAATATCCCCTTATTTTAGTGTAACACTTTGCACAAGAAAATTATCAACTTCCTCTTCCATGTTTTATTCTTATACTGCTTTGATGCAGAAAGAGCGTAAGCAATTTTTAAAATAAAAGAGAAAGCAAATAAGGAGCCACTGGACCCACCAACTTTTGTGCCATTTTCTACTTCTAGTTTTTAACTATTGAAACTTGATTTATTTCTTTTACATACACTGTCTGTTGTTGTTTATTAGCCTAATTTTATTTGCTCAGTTGCAATAACTGGATACACTACTGTGTCTAGCTGCTATTGGTGTACTGTGTACTATTTACTTTTCCCTCCTATTTGTTCAGGATTTTGTTGTGGTTTCCAGTAACTCTTTGCCAAGTATTTTCATAAAGAGAAAAAAATGAACCTTCATAAAACCAGCAGAACGTTCACCAAGTGAAGAGAGCTGCACACTGCAATAAAGAAAATCAAAGATCTCCCATGTTTTTCATGTGGCTTGAGACTTGATTTACTTTTACATTATGCACATATACATACATAAACCTTTATCTAGAGAAAACCCATTTCCAGCCAAAAAGCACAGTCTAAAGCTTGGAATAATAAGATGGTGTAAGAATTCCTCTCTCTGTGGAAGATGTTTTATGTTCAGCCTTATACGTCAACACAGATTTACTTGATCACTCTGTACTTGCCCTGTAAAGCGTGATTCTATTTTAAAAATTTCTGTCTGTGTATTTCGCTATGTTAAGAGCATCATCTGGTATAACTGGGCACCTCCAAATCTAATTAATCCTATCTGACAGAAGTTGGTTGTTTTTTTTTTATAGTACAGTTACACTGATCCAATGTCTAATTATTACCAGAAGGCACAACTCTCTTGTGCCAGGACCAGCACTTGTCTAACCCTCAGAGCTCTGAAGTGCTAGAAAACTACTCATTTTATTTCTGAGTTTCTCCTGAACTGTGTTCTTATGCAGTCACCATGCTGATGGGAGGTATGCAAGAGGTAGAGCAGCTCTTTCTAAAGGCAGCCAGCAGGAGGTGAGTTCAGCTGCCTTGCACAATTCCAGGTGCACCCATTCCTTTTAGCACAGTGCAGGTCACCCTCTGACCAGTCCCATCTTTCTCCATTGACTGTGCAGGGAACTGATTGGATGACTGATTTAGGCGAGTTATTTAATCCAGATAAAGAGAGATGACCTGAATCCCACCTCAGAAACTAAAGGTAAGCAACCTTAAGGATATCATGCGATTTGCATTTATTTACTTCAGTTTAGTACTTGACCAGTTTTAATGACGTGGTTACTTGTTAAACTTGGGAGCTCAGCACTAATATGCATAAGCATAGGCAATACAGGTATCACCATGCTCACAAACTAACAGGAATATGAAAATAGTACCATTTTTCATGTGCATATGATGGCAGTATTCACCACAATTTATTTAATATTGGATTACAAGCATCAAGCTACGGAAAGATGTCAACTATTACACTTGAATTGCTTTAAAGATATTATTTGAGTGCTGTCATGTTTCATAGGAAAACCATACTTCTCTATTATTCATCTGACATTTAAAGCTTTTTTTTTAATGTTCCTTCCTAGGAATATAAAAACTTAATCACAAAAGACAGGTTTTAAGAGGACTTTATTAAATCTGACAACTGACTAATTGGGCTGTGTGCAATTAATAAAAAAAACTGATAATTGAGCATTCAACAAAGGACTGTTCACTGATAGCATTTTTTTTAATCTCTGCATTTTCACAGATCTACAGTTCTGCAAATACAATGTTTGAGTAAGACATTATTCTTCCTAGTTTACGCCCACACTTCATGAGATTACTGCAGTGTGGAAAATGTCACATTGCTTCTGTTGGTAGAAGAGCCACAGGAATCACTGAAATACAAAAAACACCTGGTCCTGCCCATACATTTGCTTAGCTGAAAATATTTGTGTAGGACAGACTGGGTGTCTCACTATTTTATGCCTTTTTCACTTACAACTTAAATATACAAACATAGTACAGACTTTTATGCAAAGTATCAGATTCACTACTGTGGGGTCTGATAAAAAAAAAGCTAATACTGAGAAAATACTGCACTTTGTAGAGATCTCTTCTGACGGTCTACAGAAGAGCTCAGTAGGTCACTACTTGCATATCGGATGTTTTAAACTTTCCCTTCAGACAGACAAAAATAATTTGGTTCAGATATTTAAATTTGCAACAGAGAAAGTAATTCCTTTATTTTTAGAAAAGTGCACTGTATGCTTTACCTTTAGGCTCAATAAAAGATCTGTTATAACTGAGTTGATGGTTACATTCCTAATGGGACATGTAAATGTCACTGAAAGTACCGTTCTGTTTTTCCTAGAGAAATTTCATGAAACTTCCCTTAAGAAGAGGGATGGAATAAGAGTTTATTGAGGTCTTGTCCTTATATTTACTACTGAAGATCAGTTTTTTCTTTAAGTCTTCATAAGATAAAGTCTTTTTTCAAGTTGGATCCAACTTGTCTTGGAGGGTTCATTTCCTCACAAATCAACTATACCAAGTATGCTGAAAGGTATCAGTCTGAGTTTTCTTCTCTGTTTTTCAGATGGGACACTTCTGCTACTTCCGCTCCTGTTCTTGTTGCAAGAGACATCTCCAAATGGCTTTGAGGCTTTCACTTGGATTTAAGTAAGTCTTCCCATTCAATGCTGGACTCACTATTTTTAGGAATTGCTGGAAACATTGACTGCATTTTAGTTTGGAATTCTTTCATCTATAAAAGAGATTAAAAAATAAAATCAGTTAACTGTTAATAAGGAGCAAATAAAGTAGCACCGTGAACCCTGGTCTTATTCCACAAAATAGGCTGTGTGAAGAGGTAAAAAGACTTTGACAATAAGAGAAAATTAAGACTTTCCCTCTGATTATGTTGGCTGAATTAACAAAGTTAAAAAAAATACGAAGGGACTCACAACAATCCCCCCTTCTAAAGCACCACACTGGGGTGCCTAATTTTGGCCACCTGCCTGAATGATTCACTATGGTTACATGAACTACAATACATATACACACACACACGTTTAAAATGCTTTTGCTTGGAGGAAAATTACCTCAATAGAATGTGCCCATATTTTGACTGTAGTGCCTTTTTCTACACTTCTAATGGATTAACAGCCCAATAAGTTTGTTCAAGGATTTTAAAACAGGGATTAAAGAAAAAATAGCGGTCAGCTCTGACAATTTAGGTTTCTCCCACCATACAGACACAGGTGACAAAACAAAGTCTTGTTCAAATGTATACATTAGTAGGAAGGAAAACAAGATTCATAACCATATACAGGACCAAGCTTTTCTTCCACTGTTGTTAAATTAAAATGCTGTGAAAGAGGAAGTTTGCTAGTTTTATATTCTGTATACCAATATGTTCATACCAATTGCCCAATTTGTATTTATGATGACCATTTTATCACCAATGTCTGATTCAATAGTCCTGGCAGGCCAGAACTGAAATTTCGTTTCTTTACAAATAACTTCTTTTTGAAGATAGTATTTAGATTTAACATGTTTCTTTCTTCCAAGATTTTTACACGTATTTTTACATATAATGTATTTTTAAAAGATAGGCATGGAAAAATCAAATCAGTGAAAATCTTGTTACACAAACAGCAGGATATAGGGGAAATATTGGACTGCTATTTTTAGGAAGCTGTTTAGAATTTATGACATTCAAGCAGAGAAGACAGGATGTGGTATTCAAGCACTGGATGCAATGACCTCTTGAAGACAAAATGTTGTCTCAGCCAGCATGTCCCAGGAGGATGTTCCTGGAAATCTAGATACCCTGAACAGCCACACAGGCATCTTCTCTAACATGCCTATATTTTGTGTGTTATGGGTCACTAGTTTTTTTACAAATACCTTTGGGCCATTTTCTGTTCAAGTCCTTCTGCGTGTGAATAATTCTGACAAAGAGCTGGTACTTCTTTAGAGAAACGTTGCTGGACTGCAATTATTCAAGTTACAGCTGATACAAAGAATGAAACAATTTACAAAGAAATTACCAATCCTTTACTAAGACAATAACTAATTATGATGGATGAAAGCATTTTAGAACTCAAGTTTTTGTGTAAAAATGCCTGGGTACTGCTAATCAAATAAAAATACATGTTATATAAAGTAGGAGGAAAATTCAGAGCCAAATTATCCTTTTTGTTTTATCCTGACTGTGTTCTTATGTGAAAACTAGTTCATTGTCTGCTTTATATTTTACTCTGATCAGATAGCTGTTTTGATTAATTATTTGTTCTTGGTTTTTACAAATCTTGGCAAACACCCACAATTGTTCCTAAACTAATATTTTTGCTTCTTATTTAAAACTGAAAAGCTCTCATAGGCAGCTAATATTTCCAACAATAATAAACACTGGTATCAGAGCTGACGAAGGGGAACAGCCCAAATTACATTAAATAATTGCTGACAATTAAATACAAGTATTAACAGTAGGAAATGCTTTAGGAGCTTTGGCTTAGCTGTTTTTTCCAGACCTCTGTAATTAAATTACCCCAGTTATCTGATGTGCAGCAAGTATTCAATTTATTTAACATTTTTTACTTCCTAAAGAGTAAGCCAGCTCTACTACTCTTTCATCTCACTCTAAGTATTATCTGGGTGCTTGGTAACACAGGAATGCTCAGATCCTAACCTGATGTAAACTGCTGTAGCTCAGTTGGTATAACTGGAAATAAAACATTTTATACCAGCTAATGATCTGATGCAATGTGGATTTTCTAGCTGTTTCTAAATTCAGACTTCTAAATTTCTTTTAGTGTCAAATTTAAATGACACACTCATAAGCCCTACAGGACACTTCTGTTACTCCACTGAAGATACACAACCCGAAAGAAAACTAAAAGCAATTACATAAGGCCTCCAAAAAGAGGATGATGGGTGGGGGAGCCATTAAGAAAACTACAGTGCGTCCTCACCTCTAACAGCTGCCTTATAATTACTAACATGCCAAACCCTAACCCTCGAATGCAAAAAGCAGTCTTGTCTGGGAAATAAAACACTACAGCTCTGTTCTGAAAGAAAAAAGGTATTTATGTTAAAAGCACTGCTAGCAGCTGCAGATTTAAGAATATTCAGATTTTTCTCCCCTCGTAATGCTAATTTATGTTCTTCAGGTAAAAGCAACTCATTTCCTGGAAAAGTAATTTTTCCTTAACACGTAGACCAAATGTGAAATAGTCAACGTCTTTCTTTTGCTTTTAAGACTCCCTGAGAAATTTCCTCAGCCTTGTCTTCTCAGATTTTGATGATTATTTGTAAAACCACTTTGCAAGTGATGCCAGACTCCATGGCTCATTTATCACTTCCTCTCTTGCCAGTATCTATGCCCTTTTCCACAAGCCCCCTCTGCCCAAATAGTTTTTCATTGCAATTCACCACTTAGACCATGTTTTATGTTTTTCCACAAACTTTCTTCCTTTGTGATTCCTGAACAGTGAGCTATTTTAATAAATCATAATGCCAAGCTGATCACCACTGTGCATTGTCTTCTCAAAGTTATACTTAAGGTTGTCAGCTATTTAAGAAGGACATTATCTACAGTGACTGTCATGGCCCTCACTAATACATAATGTCTTCACATTATGTTTAAATAGGGCCAATTTCTTCACGCTACAAACGTCAAAGCTACTAACTCTTACTAGGAGTTTTCCTTTCTATACAACTTAAAAGATACTGCACCCTATTATTTCTCTCCACAGCAGTTTTTGAGTTCTCACTAATAATACATTGAGCAACGTAACTAGGACTAGTCACGGACTTCTATTTTCCCCGTCTCCCTCTGCTCCCAGTAAGAAAGTGCAGTACAGTATTTCATCAGGGCTTTGATCTGGACTTCTAAGCCATCTCCCCTTTCTCTTCTGTTTCACTAATAACACCAGCTTCTGAGTTTCTTCCTCCATTTCCACATTTGTGCTTGTTGCTGTCCTGAATGTACTTCCAAATACTCACCACTGTCCTCCTCGCACTCAGAACTCTGCTAAAGCTCACTTGCCACACTGCCTAAAAGCATGGGGAGGACTTTGAAAAATAACTCCTATCTGATGCAATGGAACCAGTGTATACACCCATAAATAACCATGGAAACTGCATCCCAAAGTTCTTATCCCTTCTCTCCCGGTGTTAATGTCTGCCTGCTTATGAACTGTTCTGGTATCAAATTTCAGGCTGTGACCTCTCTCAGTCAGCTTAATATCCAAATTTTGGATATTTTGGACTGGCCAAACTCTATTTAATGTATTTATATATTTAGGACTAAATTTGGCCTCCAGAGTAATTCACACTGGCCTCAGGGTTGTTCTCATTTGCATTTGGTTGACAATATCATACCAGGCCCATTTTAACTTCAGAGGATCCTTGTAGTGAAGGTAAAATTTGTTCACTAAACACATAAATTAGATGTCCTTCAACGAATTGGGCTTACCAGTGACCAGTCACTTCCTGCAGCATGGTGAGCTTGGTGTGAGGATGATGAATCTAGCTTTATTTTCTATTAATACTGCACACTTGAGGTGCAAGAATTGAGACATTGTCTTTACCTGCTTTACCTCTGAGGGGACAAGCACACTTCTTGATGAGGGAAATACTGCAATTAGGAATCTGTGTCTTGCCTTGCCTTTTCTTTTTAGTAGACATGCCACTCGGGAGGTCTCTTCTCTCCTCCCCCTCCCTGGAAATTTCCTGTATTTCCTCCAGATTCCACAATACACATGCCAGTGGTCTCAAATCAAAAGGCATTAGTTTAATTATGAAAGCCAATGTGCTATGTACTACGTACTGGAATGTTTTGAAATAGTGCACTGAAACGGCTACCTCTTTATTATTGGCAGCCACACTGACACTGGGGTACTCGGTTCAACTGTGATAATGTCTTCAATTAATAGTGCAGTTAACTGAGCACTAAAAGCTGAATGTATTTTACCTCCTTCTGCTGCCTTCAGTATCCCAGGCCACTCTCCCAGCTGCTGCTTCCGAATCTAGAGGTACATGAACGATCTGTAACGCATTTCTTGATTTAACATTCCAGCATGCTCCGTTCCTGGAGGCAACTCTCTGAAGTGAATTTCACTCAAGTGAATTTTTTTTTTTTATCACAGATATTGCAAAGCTTGACACTGTTTTTTCCTGCCAAATAAATTACAGTAACTGTTCCACCTCTGACTGTCAAGCTTCTTTCTAAAAGGGTATCATCTACCTTACTGCATTAAATAATCTGTAATAGCTACAGATCACTGTTATTTTCTTATCTTAACCTAATGATCCTGCCTCAGGTGGCAAAAATATGGGGACCTAAAAGCATCTTCCATTTAATAATCTCTTTTTAATGTACATCGTTGACAGAATGTCACGCAAAAATTGGGATAGCACTATTACTGAGAGCACTTACGTGGCCGTTCATATTAAAATGAATGGAAGAGGGGGTAAAAGAGTCTATTTGAATCCTAGAATGAAAGTTTTACGAAGAAATGTTCTCTCTAATGTCTGACATTCATAATAGGCCAACCCAGATTCTAGGAATTATTGGTTTCCTATTTTAGTACTCGTACCAGTAAGACCTGCTTACATTAGCTTCCCAGTGAAATAAGGTTAGATGCCCTGAACTGGAATATCGACTGGCAGCAGAATACAGGATGTACGTGCCCTGTGTTCTCCTCAGCCACCTTCGATTTCACAAGGCATGAAGATGAGACGGGCTGTCCTGGATTT